GAACTGTTGTAGAGATGACAAGAAGTATGTTGAATATGAAAAATTTATCAAATACATTTTGGGCGGAAGGTGTTTCAAGTGCTATTTATATTTTGAATATTTCTCCAATAAAAACTGTTCAAAATATTATACCTTATGAAACATGAAATGATAGAAAACCTATCATCAGTCATTTGAAAGTATTTGAAAGTATTGCTTATGCATTGAATGATAGTCACAATAGAAGTAAGTTGGATAGCAAATCTAGAAAGTTGATATTCATTGGCTACAACATTCAGTCAAATGCATACATATTGTTTGATCCACAATCTGAGAAGATTATTATCAATAGAGATGTTATTTTTGATGAAGATAGTATGTGGTATTAGAGTGAATCTATAATTCATGATAAAGGAAAAGCAGTTGTTGAATTTGAGGAGAATCATCAAATTAATATGACTAACAATCAAAAAGTTAGTGATGAATTGTCATATAATTCATCTCTTTTAAGTCCTAGATTAATAGATTTAAGTACATTTGAAGAGAGACATCATAGAAAGATGAGACATTTGCATGATTGTACATTTGCCCTTATGGTTATAGATCCATTATGTTATGAAGATGCTTGTGGAAAAGAAGAATGAGAAAATGCTATGAAAGAATAGATTCAAAATATTGAGAAGAATGATACTTGGAGCTTGTTGATATGCTACAAGGAAAAGATCCAATTGGTGTAAAGTGGATTTATAAGGTGAAGTACAATTCAGATGGAAGCATAAAAAATACAAAACAAGGCTTGTTGTCAAAAGTTATGCACAAAAATATGGTATTGATTTCCATAAAACCTTTTCTTTTATTGCTAGATTTAAAACTGTTAGACTATTGCGTACATTAGTTGCATAAATGAAGTGAAATATTTTTTCATTTTGATGTTAAATCTGCATTTTTGGATGGTAATTTGAAGAAAGAAATATACATTAATACACCACATGGTTTCATTATCAATGGCAAAGAGGAGAAAGTTTATAAACTAAAGAAGACACTTTATGGGCTTAAACATGCATGCACTAAGAGCATGGTATTGGAGGCTTAATTCATACTTCCAAAAGAAGGGATTTCATAGAAGTGAAAGTGAGTCTACTTTGTATGTGTTGACTAAAAATGGTAATTTGCTTATTGTTTGTATTTATGTTGATAATATTATCTATTCAGGATCATCTAATATGTTGATTGAAAAGTTCAAGGCTAATATGATGAAAGAATTTGATATGACTAATTTGCGGTTGCTGCACCATTTTTTGGGCTTACAAATTATTCAAGCAGATGATGAAATTTTTATATCTAAAAAAAGATATACATTGGAGTTACTAAAGAAGTATAATATGCTGATTTGCAAGATTTTTTCAATACACATGAATATGAATGAAAAGTTAGTTCAGAATGATGGTACAACTAATGCTAATAAGAAAGTATTTAGAAGAATTATGGGTGGCCTTATGTATTTGATAAATAGCAGGCATAATATTATGTAATCTGTCAATCTTATTTCAAGGTTCATCCGTAATCCGTATGTATATCATCTTGGTGCAACTAAATGCATTCTTCGCTACATTTAGGAGACAATAAATTATGAGATTTGGTACAAATCAATTTCTAACTTTAATTTAGTTGGTTTTACTGATAGTGATTTGGCAGGTTCCATAGAAGTTAGAAAGAGCACAAGTGGATTCATATTCAATCTTGGGTCTGGAGCAGTATATTGGAGCACAAAGAAACAAGCTAATACTGCATTGTCATCTTCAAAAGCTGAATATATTGCAGCTTCAAGAACAGCATGTCAAGCAATTTGAATGTGAAGAATATTAGAAGATTTTCAACAATCTCAATTAAAGGTGATTGACATATTTTGTGATAATAAATCCACAATATCTATGACGAAGATTCTGGTGCATCATGGTAATCGAAGCACATGGAGCTCCAATATCATTTTGTAAGAGAAGTTGTGGTAAAAGCAACTATTGCAATTAAGTATTATTATACTAAAGATCAAGTTGCTAATGGATTCACAAAAGTTCTCAATTTTAAAAAAAAATTGATATATTCCGATCAAATCTGGGTGTAGGAATTTTGCAATATGGGGTTTTGTTATGAATTAATGCAAAATTAGTTTATCATTTGTGTTATTAAAACTGAAGCGTTATATTAGTGAAAAGTTGTCTTTACTGTGTCAATTTGGCTTTTAGTTATTTTTATTTTAAAATTTTTGCTGTACGAGAAAGGAAAAGTGAGAAAAAAATTGAACCTTTTTGTTCTCTGTATTTTTGCCTTAGTTTTAAGAGCTTTCCTGTTCATTACAGTTCATTAAGAAAATTTTTGTTTTCTTCAAATTCTTCATTTTCTCCAACAGGTTCTTCCTCAGGTATCTGACAAAAATACAATGAAATAACAAAATATAATAGAGTTAATGGAAAAACAGAAAATTCATTTAAGCAACAACACATTCTAGGATTACAAATTCATGATATAAAGCAGAAACATCCATTTCAATAATTAATTCTTCTCTACGGCTTTGTTTGGGACGGTTTTTTTATTACTTCTTGAAGCAGTTTTTTAGTATAAAAATTAAATTTCTTATACTAGAAAGCTGTTTCATCAAGCAATAAAGAAAACGTCCCAAACGAAGCCTACATATAGTTCCAACCGCAATATTGGTATCAAGAAGCGATGGAAGTCATAAAAATAAACGTGTTGAAAAAATGATCTTAATTAATTTTAGTGGCTTTGTGTGATTCTTTTAGGAGTTCTGGTTTGTGCATTTACTTCTAAATAAAGCATGTCTACAATGTATTCTTTGATTCCCTTGGATTTACTATTTGCACAAATTAACGAGATTTGAGACAAGATATCCGGAGTTTCTAAATTCTGTTACATTAAAATTTTGCAACTGTTTCTATGACAAAGATTTCATTTGGAACGGTTTTTTTTACTGTTTCTTAAAGCAGTTTTTTAGTACAACAAATAAATTTTTTATACTAGAAAGCTGCCTTACGAAGCATAAAGAAAGCCGTCCCAAACGAAGCCTAAATTTCTATTTGTGGCTTGTGTTTGCTTTGGGGTGGTGAACTACGAGCGCTTGCAGCTTGTACATCGTTGTTGAAGGTTGAATGGGTATGCTAAACAGTGGTAGAGCTACTGCAACAGACTATAGTGGTGGATTGCGATTGGGTCCCCATGGTGGATTGCAACAAATTATAGTTGCTATGAAAATGGATCTTAGAAAAGATGATCGATCTTCATATAAGATATAATATGTTATCAACATGCAATACTGAGGAGCATTACTTGACCGGGTGACATTGATTGCATGCAAACTGCGTTTGCTTCGAACTCCTTGAGCATATATTGGTTAGCAAATTATCTTATTAATTGCATGTCAACCTCCTTTACTTGCAGGAGATTAGTGTATTTGATTGCATGACTGGTTGCAAGTGTTACACATCAATTGCTATTGTTCATATGTGATTCATTCATATGTGATTCACAATATTTGTTAAGGGCTTTGTGTACTTGCTTGTACATTACCTTCAATATCATTTCTTGGGGGTGAATCATGTTGAAAATTTATCCAACACAAGTCTTTTGTTCACTCATTTGTGTTTGCTTTTTTTTTTTTTTAATTTTGTGAATTACAGTTTATTTTAAGCATACTATGTATAGTTCCTTGTGATTTTGGTTGCAAGTTTAGTTCCATGTGATTCTGTTTAAGACTGATTATGATGCGGAGCATATTAGTTAAATCGAGGCTTAATAATAGCTTATCTAATTTAGTACCTTTTTCTAGAAAGTTCTAGGCATTTCTAGAAAATGCTAAAGATGGAATTTTGGAAGAAGCAATGGAGCTAAGGTGCAAATGGAAGCAAAGGGGATAGAGGCTGATGTTGTTACTTACACTCGTCTGATATCAGGTTTTGAGAAGGTCGGCAAGCATGAGCTTGCCATAAGAATTCTTGAGGAGATGGAGGGACACAAAGCCGAGACAAAGTGCAAATTGTAGAAAACAAAGCTATACAAACCCAAGCTCAGGAGTTCCCTCGCCAGCTTGACTATCCACTGGGACTGATAGTCCCAAATTCTTCAGACAAGGGGAGAATAATGCGGAGCATATTAGTTAAATCAAGGCTTAGGAATAGCTTATCTAATTTAGTACCTTTTTCTAGAAAGTTATAGGCATTTCTATTATATTGCTATAAATAGGTGCTATAGGTAGAAGAAGAGTATGATTTAGTATTTTTGGAATTTGAAATAGTTTTCACTTTTTTTGGTCTCCAAGAGCTATGTAGCTCTTCTTCATCTTGCTTCTCCATGTTTCTCCCAACATCAGATCCCCTATCAATCCAAATTTCAGCAACCTTCCAACAAGTAAAAAAAAAAAAGTGCATGGTCGGTGTCTGGTGACACCACAACCGTGGTCTTCTACCCCACCACACAAAGAAAGATGTGTATTGGTTACAAGGGTATTTGCGCAATAGACTTAAAATTTCTCCCCCGACTTGAAAGTGCGTACAAGTACTTAGATTTTACCTTACTAGGACAAGGCTCACCCACCTTGCCTCAAGCGTCGCACCGAGCCAGCACGCTAAGAAAATCACACATAGGTGGTCTACCCGTTGCGCCACAAGATCCGAAAAAAGGATTTGGATTTTTTTTTAAGTATAAAAATCATTATACCTTGCGTGAGATATGTGATAGCGACAATGTCGAGGTGACGACGATGAATTAAAACACAAATATATTTTCTCTTCTCTTTTTTTAATCTCTCTTTTCTTTTTTCTTTTCTTTTCCTTTTTTTTTAATAACAGTAATACCAAACTAATAATAGAGAGAGAAATTAAGGTAGAGAGTGTGATAGTAAGCTTCTTTCTATTAGAGAAAATGAGGGGGTTCTTTGGAAGTGAGCTAGGTGAGTGGATGTGGGAGTATAGGTAGAAGGGCTATTTTGGGTGTGAGAGGGCTGTTGGGCTTTAGAAGTGGGCTAATGTTGAGGAATGCTGGTGAGGAGAAATGGGCTGCAAGTAATGGTTGGTAGTGGGCTGTTTTGGGTTGGATGATGTAGGCTGGTGAGTGTAAGTGGCGGTATAGGTAGAAGAAGAGCCTATATGATGTGGCAACTCGCAGCGCGGTTGGCTCGAATGGGGCGACGAATGTTCGACAGGGTGGTTCAATGGGGGTGGCGAGTTGTAGACTGGAGGCGGCGAAGAAAGCCCTGGGTTGTGGATCGGATGTGGCGAGTTATGTATCGGTTCTGCTGGCGGAGGCGAATGGTGAATGGGCTGGACTGTCTGAGACGGGTAAGGGTAGACCGGATTCTCCGCCGTCGTTGGCCAAACAGGTTGCTTAGCTGGAGGCGAATGGTAGACCGGCGGAGACGAAGTTTTAGGTGGCCGTGCGGAGGAATGTGGCGATTCCGCAGGTTCATTGCCAGAAGACGATGGTGGCGGCGGTAGCGGTGGAACCGCAGAGTGCTGAGAGCCTTGTCCAGTAGCAGGAGGTGGGTTAGATTTAGTCGACGGAGATGGCGCCGAAGATGGCGGCGGTCGTGGTGGATGGGAAGAGATCTGCCCCGTGTGTTCCCCACTAACAGGCGCCGGTAGCGGCGGCGGTGGCGGTGGCGAGCTTCTTCCGCTACCCTTAACACCCTGCTTCGGTGGTGGCGGTGTGTTCAAACTCGGTCTCCCTCCCAGGTGAGCCGGCCTTGGGAGCGGGAACTTTCCTGCGCCGCACTTTGCCATCGTACAATCAAACGGCAGCGTAGCATCCGCCGTGCACTGACTCGGTGGCCGCTGGCTCGGAATTCCAACAATGCAGTTTTCACTCCCATCTACAACCACCCCTCTCCTCCCAACACATTCCGGGGTCACGCCGGAGAAGAAATTATAAGAAAAGGTGAAATTTTGCAGCTTCGGCAGCATACAAACGGCACCGGGAACAATTCCCGTAAGTTGATTTCTCCCCACATCAAGCTGCTCTAAACTTGTCAACCCCGCAGAAGTAAGCGGAATCGACCCTTGCAGCCTATTAAAGCTCACATCAAAGACAGTAAGTTTCTTCACCGTCCCAACCTCCGGCGGAATACACCCGCCAAGATTATCATTAAGAAGAATAATCTCATTAAGGCTTCTCTCCATCCTTTGAATGCTTGACGGAATGCACCCGCCAAGATCATTGTTTGCAAGCACAACAACAGAAACAGGGGAATTCCCCAAATTCCCCGGAATTCCACCACGGAGGCGGTTAGAGTTAAGGAAGATGGCATCAAGCGGGCGGTCGAAGAGCGCCGGCGGTATATTCCCTTTAAACTCATTGAACCGGAGGTCGAGGAATCGAAGCGACGGTAGCTTGAGGACAACGGCAGGGAACTTGCCGACGAATCGGTTATTGCTGAGGTCGAGCTCGTAGAGGAGCCTGAGGTGGCTAAATGTGGAAGGGACGCCGCCGTAGAAGCGGTTGGAGTTGAGGTGGAAGACGGCGAGGTCAGACAGGAGCCCGAGTTCAGGGGGCAGGAATCCAGCGATGTCGGCACCATTGAGGTCGATGGCTGCGACGACGGTGAGGGAGGGTTGAAAGGGGAGAGGGGCGCAGAATACGCCGGAGTAGGAGCAGACGTTGGGGCCCATCCATGAGGCGGTAAGATTTTTCGGGTCGGAGAAGATGGCTGTGGTTTTCCAAGTTCGGAGGGCGATATAAGCCGCTCGGAGGCGGGGGTTAGGGAATCGGAATTGGTCGGGATTGGCGGCGTCGCTTTGGTTAAGTGCCTTTGTAGATATCGCCGGAGATAATACGAGGAGGAAAAGAAAGAAGGGAAGAGACATTCCGGCGAGAGAGAAAGAGGCTGCGACGGCGAGGTTTCAGCACATGAAAGGTGGCGGGTTGGGGTAGTCGGTGCTTTGGGGATATCTTGCTTGGATTTATACATTGTATTTAAAATGAAGAGGGCAATTTTGGAATTATTTGTTTATTTAAATATTTGGATTTGGCTTAACATGATTTGATTTATTTTTATTTTATATTTATTTTAAATGTTACATATGATTTATTTTTGGATCAATGAATATAGATGTGTATTGATATTCTGAATTAAAAAATTTGTTTGTGCTGTTTATTGTTGATAGATGAAATTAGATAGCTCTGATTATTGTATCATAAAAAATAAAAGAAAGAATTATTCTAAATAAGATTCTGGGTGTTATAGAGAGAGTTCTCATTATGCTTGGCTCACACTTGCGAAATGAATACCTACACAAATGAATATTCACAGGTGTATAGGCGTAACCAAGCAGAGTTTAAGATTAGCATTCTTTATAACTAAGAACAAATACTAATGAAATCATTTTAATTCGGTGAGATCCAATGATTTTTTCCCTTTATGAAATTTTCATGTTAAAATTATGTTACGTCTTATATCTTTTTCACCTCTCTTTCTTATTTTTGTATATGCTAGATCTTCGTACAGAACAACAATGCTAAACTTAATATTTATATGCCGTAACAAATATCGCGACACAACATTTCTAAATTATTAAGTTATAATTGGGTTTGATTATATTATGAATTATTAAATAGAATTCCTTAGATTTTATTTGAAATAATTTTTTAACTGTTTTATTATAAGAGAAATAATTAATAAAAAATAATATAAATTTGAAAATTAAAATTTTCAATTTTATTTTAATTTTCTATTTTTTAAAATATTTTTAAATTATGGCAGAGAAAAAAATTTAAAAGTAAAAACAGAAAAACTTAAATTACCTCAAATAAAACTTTAATAAGATATATATATATATTCCAAAAGAATTTAAGCAGAGCACTGTATTAGGTACCCATACTCACACCCACCCGTACCCAATGGGCATGAGTGGATATGGGTACGCCAATGACCTCGTGGGTGGATATGTGTGGACACTCAACATCAGATGACAAATCAATTTACATTACTAATCACCATATGCATACAGTATATTACAATAATCTTTACTACGCAGTATTTAACACTGAACCTAATTTGAATAAGAATTTGACGCTTAACAGAATACAATGAAGAAAATAATTTATGTTGCCTATCTCACTTAGTGGGATAAAAGCTTGACATTATTATTATAAAACTATCATAAAAAACAAAAAGATTATCATATTTAAAAAAAAAAATAGTGAAAAATTAATTGTCAAATTTCTTAAAAATAACACAACTACATTATTAAAGGAAATCTGGCAAAGCATGATGAGATGGGAAACTTATCAGTAAATTTTCATCTTGTTGAGTCACGGTTTGGAAAATTGTTGCCTTGCTGATCAAAATTATGACTAGTGAATGACCTAATGAATTAACCAGACATTGTTGCTTACTTATCTTACATATCATGAGAAAATCTGCATGCATTAATTCTTCACCCATCCGGCAGAAAGGCACCGGTTGGAAAAATTATTCTGTGCATTTATCGAACAGTCCATAGGCGAATCAGGATGCTCCATGTCACCCGGTACATAAAGGTACACAACACCGGTACACAACTAAAAAGTGAAATGGTACGTCCTCATTCATCTCTGGAAGGTGTCCGGTGACCAAACAAAATAATTTCACCACCAGCTGACACCAGCACTCGAGATTCTAGACGAAAATGCCCGTTATAGTATCAAAAATGTACTAGAACTAAATTTCAGTATTGACATCCCAGATATTGCTAAGAATGTTATCCATGACTACAACAAATAAAAACATAAACATGAAAATATTTCTGTCAGATACAAATAAATGGTGATAGGCTAAAACCATACACTCTCCTGCTTATTATGTTTTAAGATATCAGGTTAGATTTTGGGCTCCAGAATAACGGCTTTTCTTTCTTAAACTGCTCAATATTTGGCTTTCCCTTCTGTAATACCTGTTATTTTTTTGTTCTTTTGAAGGAAAGAAGAGGGAACACATGCAGAAGCTGATATAGCCAAGAGCCAAATACTCATTTAATAAAAGGTCAGTAATTTATGTTGAGACAGACTCTTTCTGGAGGTTCTTCCTCAGGTATCTGACATGAATGCAATGTAATACACAAAAGACAATAGAGTTAATGTAAAACAGATAATTCATTTAAGCAACAACACATTCAAGGATTACAAATTAATGATATAAAGCAGAAAAAAATCAATTTCAACAATTAATTCTTCTCTAGAAATAGGTTTGAGTCTTTGTGTATGCGATGCGTGTGTGAGTTTGTCTTAATTGACCTAAATGTCCAAAAAAATAAAATATGCTAAAGAGTGGTAGAGCTACGACAACAGACTATAGGGGTGGATTGCGGTTGGGTCCCCATGGTGGATTGAAACAAACTATAGTTGCTATGAAGATGGATCTTAGAAAAGAGGAGCTTCATATAAGATATAACATGCTATCAACATGCAATACCGAGGAGCGATACTTGACCATGAATTTATTTAGAAAACGGTTGTTCGCATTCATACTCTTGGTCCCATGTTTCTTAAAATTAGAGTAGGGGGTAGGGATGTAAGTGAGCCGAGCCAGCTCGTGAGCCGGCTCGAACTCGACTCGTTAACGAGCTCGCAAGCCGAGCTTATCGAGCTTCGAGCTCGAGCTCGAGCCTACAATCGAGCTCGAATGATTAACGAGCTCGAGTTCAAGCTCAGCCTGACTCGACTCGAAAGCTTATCAAGCTACTCGATATAATTATATATATTATATTTATAATATTAATTATATATATAATAATACCCATCACATGCATTGGTGCTTCTCAAACGAGCTCGATCTCGAGCTCGAGCTTTTCAAACGAGCTCGAGCTTTCGAGCGAGCTCGAGCTTGATATTTTCTAAATGAGTCGAGCTCGAGCTCATTAAGGACTAAACGAGCCAGGCTTGATAAGGCAAATACTCGACTCGACTCGACTCGTTTACACCCCTAGTAGGGGGTATGCACGAGCTAATGTTTTCCCTTAAGAAGCCTTTGGACCATCAACCAATCCCTTAAATTCAACATGCTCTTTAGATTCATCCTATTATGAGAAAGAATTTGAATACAATGTAAGAAGGAATATGGGTTAAATATCAAAATAGTCCCCCGATGCCATTTTAACCCTGAAGTATAACAGTGCTTCAATTTAGTCCTTCGACTAAACAAAATTGATTCAAAAGGATCCTTTTGAGACTAAATTGGGATCAATTTTATATTACAATTATAATATGAGTGACTATTTTGGATCAATTTTGTATAGTTGGGGGCTCAATTAGGGCAACGTGAAATTCTAAGACTAAATTGGTTAACTTGAACAGCCTGAGGATAGTGGAAAGAATATATACGACATGTTGGATATCGTGCCTTGGAGGTAACTTATCAGGAGTTCATCTACAGTTGGGTCAAACAAGGCCTTAAGTAATTAAGCTGCAACAATAGAAATGCATTGCTCTTCAAAAGAGCATTGGTACATTGCAATAAGTAAGGACAAACAAGCTTGATGCTTGCTTTACCCAATCAAGCTCTCGAGAAAATAAAAGTTGAAGTTGAGGCTAAGGAGGAGAAGGGTTCATATAGCCTAAGATTGGTAGACGGAAAGGCTAAGCAGGAGAAGGGGTCATATTATTTTTTTAATTATTTTTTTATTTTTTTTATTTGAGGGAGTGATGAAGGCATCATCTGAGGAGGGGCTATGGGGTTCAACTTCCATCCTAAGATTAATGTACAGGCCTTGGACGAATATGGATATTATGATCAAATCTTCCTCTCCTAGCATACAACAAGCACTCAAAATCCTCTAATTTGTTTACATACTCATGGACAAATTTGGTAATTCATCGAAAAGCTGCTGCCACGGTACTAAAAGAAATTTTTGGCAGAGATGTGCATATGGCATCCCAAATGGATAAAGAAGCTCCTCCATGCATGTCATTTTCAAAGAGAAAACCACGCCAAAATCATTTGGTTGTCATTCATTTTCATGGCGGTGAACTAAACCATCTTCCTTGTAAAGAGACCATACCAATTGATGGGGACATCAAATCGTGGAAGGTTTATCAGAGACGTGGCCGCCGATCTACGGCCACGATCGAGTCATTGTATTTCTGAGTCCTTTTGTTATTTCAGTATTTATGTATTTGCTTATTGTTATTTTGATCTTTCCGTTTGTACCCCTTTAATGGGATGTGTCATGTATGAGCCCAAAGGGAAATTGAGCCTTTTATGTCTTTGAGTCCATTGTACTTGGCTATATATAGCCCTTTGCTTACTGTTTCATGGTAATGAATAATTGCTTATTAAAATTTCTTCTCGCATAAGAGTTGAGAGAGCTTGAGAGTTCTAATGGAGAGAGCTTCCTAGGAGAGGAAGAATCGTGCAATATCCACCAACCTAGATAAGTCGGGTTCGTGGTTTCTATCCTCATACCCTTTTTCTTTCTTCATCCTTCAATCCTAACTCACAAAGCCACCAAACCCACTCACCTAGCCGAACCCTTCTCTCTTACCTCCTAACCACCCCCGACCAAAATCCTCACCCGTGCCCATTGCCGCCGACCCCTCTTCCCCCTTGCTCCACTTGCCTATTTGGATTGACAAAATTCGGGGCTGATTTGAGATTCAAATTCAAATATTTTGAATTTTAAAATCTTTCCTAAATTAGTTAATCTATTTTAGGAAAGTTTCTAAACTTAACAATATTTGAATTCAAATTCAAATAGACTTAATTAAATACCTTCCTAATTTCAAAACTATTTTAGGCAAGCTTGTACACATGGCACCCAAATCCCTATCCCCATGAAAATGCCGCCGGCCCCCTCTCCCTTGGCCCATCAATGCCCAATCAATTATTTCC